GGACCATAGGTTCAAGCTTACAACCACAGCCGTTGGCTATGATTGTGCTGGGAGGGCCCTGCCCTCCAGCTGGGACTTGCACGTGGCAATGAGAGGACCCTGTCCTTTCATTAGTCCGAGGCTTGAACCTGGCCAAAACACTGTACCTGCGCCCCATACACTCCTACAATTTGTCTTAGCAAGGATGTGAACTTCCTATCCTGTATAATAAAAGGATAATATGCAAATCAACTGAACAGTGGAATGACTGGTTGCTATGACACGCACTGACCACCAGGGGGGCAGATGCTCAATGTAGGAGCTTTCCCCTGGTGGTCAGTGGGCTCCCACAGGTGGATGCCACTCAGCCAGAGACCAGGCTCACAGCTGGTGAGCGCAGTGGTGATGGCGGGAGCCTCCCCTGCCTCTGTGGCAGTGCTAAGGATGTGCAACTTCAGGCTTAGTCCCGCTTAAGGGGAGCAAACCTAAGCCAACAGTTGGACATCCCCCCAAGGGCTCCTGGACTGTGAGAGGGTGCAGGCTGAGCTGAGGGACCACCTCCCCGCGCCCCCCACTGAGTGCACGAATGTCATGCACCAGGCCTCTAGTATATATATAAAAGCCTAAGCGACCAACCGACCGGCTGGTAGCTATGATGCACACTGACCACCAAGGGGCAGACGCTCAATGCAGGAGCTGCCGAGCAACAGAGCGACAGCAACTTTGTAGAGTGCCCTTGCATTCTGAGACCACTCAGAGGATGTTGGACTGTCAGTTTTGGTCCAATCCCCGCAGGCCGGGCCAAGGGACCCCACCTGCCAGAGGGACCCTGCTCACTCCACAGATGCCCTTTGAGCCCTGGCACTACCCCAGGTGCAGCCGGCCAGGGCGGTACCACAGGAGGTTGGCTCCAGGGCATGTCCGGCCCGTCTTGCCCAGTCCTGCCCCACCGGCCACCTTCTAATTAATTTACTTTCAATGTGCACGAATCTGTACACCGGGCTTCTAGTAAGTAATAAGGCTCTTGAGCCTCATTTTAGGGACTCACATGAAAGGTTTTTAAACTTATGTGGAAATAAGACCTTATGTGTGTTTCAAGGCAAAACTCTTGCAAGGATGTGAAAAAGAGAAACGGAACGTAGAGTAGGGACTTCAGATGTCAGTTTATAGGTTTTTCTGAGAGTACAGATGAGTATTGATGACAGTTTGAGTTAAGGAAGAGATCATAGAGAAAGTCAGAAACCTGCAGAGGCACGGTGGAACTGGGAAGCTTTGAGGTGATGAAGAAAAGTTAAAGGTAACTCAGGTTTCAAGCCTTTCTTTCTGGAAGGGTGACACAATCATTAAGAGAAACTTTAAAAGAGAGGTTGATATAGGGGGAATGATAAGTTGGATTTTGAACACATTGCATTTAAGATGCTAGCAAAAATCTGGGTAGAAATGTCCATCAGGTTGCAGTTGGTAGATGGTGGTGAGCAGGCTGTGAGTGGGAATGTCGGGAGGTGATGAGGAGAATATTTCTGCAGAACTCATGAAAGAGTTTTGGTGGAAGAAAGAATGGCACTCACCTAAAATAGTTCCAAGAACAAGTTGAACAGGGCTTCAGCTGGGGTAGAAGTTTCCAAGAATAAAATTGAAAGTGGTTCCCTGCAAGAGATAGCCACTGTTGTAATTTTTCTGTCCAGTTATTTTTCTATGTAAAACATATTTTAAGTTAAGATTACACTATATTTAGAGCTGTCGATGCACTTTTCTCACTTATTATATTGTGAATATTACCTTATGTTACGATTTTTTTCATAAATATTTTTTTACTGAAAAGAATAAATTAGAAAAAATTGTCTTTACAGCAATATGTAGAAGCAGGGACATACATCGTGTTGGAGATTCAGCTGAACAAAGCCTTGGTTCCAAAGCGATTGCCAGAGGAGCTGGCCAGACGGTGTGTAGCAATGTTCTCATACTTGTTTTGCAAAAGCAACTTAGGTATAAGTAAAAGGAAGTCAGTTTGTGACCATAAATGTAATTTTCCCTAGGCCAAACATCAATTTTCTGCTCTCCCGCCCCCCCCCCAGATAAAGTTTCTTATATTTTCTTACTATAAAAGCAGTATATGCCTATTATAAAAAATTTGGGAAATTGAGATTAGCCATAAAGTATAAAGACACACAGATTTCTACTCACCCATTGATAACTGCTTTTAATACCTTGGTATTTATCTTTCTAGAGTTATTGTAAAGCCACTCTACTATATGAACACATATTCCATGTCACATTAATATACTAGTATGTAATTTTTAAGAAACTATTTTTAAATTGTACCAGAGTCCTTTGATCATTTTTCTAGGAAATTGCCATTTTATCTAGGTTATCCAATTTGTTGATGTACAGTTGTTCATGGCATTCTTTTTTCTTTTTCTCATTTCTGATTTTAGTAATTTGAGTCTGTTTTCTTTTTTCTTAGTCCATCTACCTAAGAATTATCATTTTGTTGATCTTTTCAAAGAAGCAGTCTTTTTTGTTTTATTGATTTTCCCTATTGTGTTTCTTTTCTCTTTCATTTATCTTTACTCTAATTCTATTACTTCCTTCCTTTTGTGAGCTTTGGGTTCAGTTTGCTCTCTTTTTCTAGTCCCTTAAGATATACAATTAAATTGTGTATTATATTATTGTGTGAGTTAGAGCTGTAAATTTCCCTCTGAACACTTCTTTCACTGCATTCCATAAGTTTTGGTATGCTGTGTTTTTGTTTTCATTCATCTCAAAGTATTTTCTCATTTGCCTATGATTTTTTTCTTTGACCTATTATTTTAAAGCATGTTGCTTAATTTCCACATATTTATGACTTTTCCTGTTTTCCAGTTTTCTTCCAGTTATTGATTTCTATTCTCATTTCATTGTAATTAGAAAATATATTTTATATGGTTTCAATCTTTTAAAATTGATTGAGATTTATTTTGTGGCCTGACATATAGTCTATCCTGCAGAATGTTCCATGTGCACTTGAGAAGAAAGTGTATTCTGTGATGTTAAGAGGAATGTTCTGTATATGTCTGTTAGATCAAATTGCTTTATACTGTTAAGTCTTTTATGTTCTAAGTAGAGGCCCGTTGCACGAAGAGATTCGTGCAATAGGCCTTCCTTCCCCTGGCTGCCAGCACTGGTTTTCCTCCGGCACCCGGCACCCAGGCCTTTGGTCTGGCCTCAGCGGCTTGGCTTCTCCGCTGCAGCTACAGTGAGGCTTGGCTTCTCCCCTCCAGCCGCAGCGAGGCTTCCAAGCCTCTTCAGTCTTCAGTCTTTAGTCTTCACTCTGTGACTGCGTGTGCAAATTAACCACCATCTTTGTTGGGTTAATTTGCATAGTCACTCTGATTCTGCCGGCCGCCATCTTGGCTGACAGTTAATTTGCATATACTCACTGATTAGCCAATGAAAAGGGTAGCGGTCGTACGCCAATTACCATGTTTCTCTTTTATTAGTGTAGATTGATCTTCTGTCTGATTGTTCTACCCATTTTTGAAGTGGGGTATTAAAATCTCTATTATTAAAGATCTGTCTAATTCTCCCTTCAATTGTCTCTATTTTTGCTTTATGTATTTTGGGTCTCTATTATTAGGTACATATATGTTTATTATTGTTATATTTTATTGCTGTCTGAAACCTTTTAGGTATCTATCTATCATCTATCTATATTGTTCTTCATTATCTCTTATTATATTTTTTATTTCAAGTCTATTTTCTCAAGAAATATAACCACCCCAACTCTGTTTTGGTTACTATTTGCATGGGATGTCTTTTTCTATCCTCCTACTTTCAATTTTTTGTGTGTTCTTATATCTAAAGGAAGTATCTTGTAGACAGCAGACAGATGGACACTGTTTTTGTTTTTTTAGTTACCTTTAAAAATTGAAAATGGAACTGTCATTTGACCCTGTCACCCTAGTTCTAGGAATATGTCCGAAGAAGCCTGAAACACCAGTCAGAAAGAAAATATGCACCCCTATGTTCACTGCAGCATCATTTACAATAGCTAAGCTCTGGAAACAGCCCAAATGCTCATCAGTAGATGAGTGGGTAAAAAAGCCGTGGTACATATACACAATGAAATACTATGCAGCTGTAAAAAGAAGAATTTCTTACCCGTTGAGACAGCATGGAGGGTTCTGGAGAATATTATGCTAAGCCAGTCACATGATCTCACTTATATGTGGAATCTAATGAACAAAAGAAACTGACAAATGAAATAGATGCAGAGACATGGAAGCATGCAACAAACTGATGATTCTCAGAGGGAAGCAGGGGAGAGGTGGGAAGATATACACCAAAGAACGTATGCATATATGCATAACCTATGGACACAGACAATAGTGTGGTGAAGGCCTGGGGAGGGGGCAGAAATGGGGAGGAGGGGTGAATGGGGGAAAAACAGGGACATAAAAATATAAATCCAATTCACTAATCTCTGCCTTTTAATAGGAAAGTTTAACCCATTTATATTTAATGCAATTACTGATAAAGGATTTACTTCTACTACATATCTATTTCTAATCTGCTTGTCTGTTCTTGAATTCCTTCATTACCGCCTTTTTAATATTTGATTGGCTTTTTATAATGTACCATTTAGATTTCCTTCTTCTTTCTTTCTCTTTATTTTCTTAGTGGTTACCCTAGGGATTACAATGATCATCTTAAACTTGTAACAATTTAGCTTTAATATTATACACTTGGTTCCTCCTATATATCTCTATCCCTTCCTCTTTGTATTATTATTGTCACAGATTATAGCTTATACACTGTATACCTATTAACAAATATTTATGATTATTATTTTATGCATTTGCCTTCTAAAAAAAGAGGTAAGGAGGGGTTACAAACCAAAAGTACAATAATAATGGCTTTCATAATTACCTTTACCAGTGTTCTTCATTTCCTCATTTACCTTTGAGTTCCTTTCATTTTAGCCTGAAGGGCTTCATTTAGTATTTCTTATAAGGTAGATCTTAGTAATACTCTCTTAACTTTTGTTTATCTGGGATTGTCTTAATTTTTCCTTCATTGTTGAAGGATAGTTTGCTGGATATAGAATTCTTGTTGGCAGTTTTTTTCCCCCCAGAACTTTAAATGTTACCCAAATGCCTTCTGGCCTCCGTGGTTTCTGATGAGAAATGATCTGTATTGAGATTATTGAAATTATCTATTAATCTTATGTGATGAGTCACTCCTCTCACTGCTTTGGAGATTTTCTCCTTTTCTTTTCTTTTGACAATTCTACTATAATGTGTCTTAGTGCAGAGCTCTTTAATTGTATCCTTCTTGGAGTTTGATAAGCTTCTTGGTTGTTTAGATTCATATATTTCATCAAATTTGGAGGTTTTGGCCATGAGTTCTTCAAAATTTTTTTCTGCCGCTTTCCCTCTGTTTTCTATTTGTATTCCCATAATGTGTTTGTTGGTTATACAAATAGGTATGTTGATGGTGTTCCCCAGATTTTAGAGTGTGTTAATTTTTTTTATTTTTCTTTCTGTTTCCTTAGACTGAATAATTTCAATTGTCTTGGTTCTTTCTTCTGCTTGATCAAATTTATTGAACCCTCTAGTGACTTTTTCATTTCAGTTATTGTACTTTTCAACTCCAAATTTTCTTTTTGGTTCCTTTTGTTGTTCCTCTCTCAAGGATATTTTTCCATTGATTTTTAGAGAGTGTGGAAGGAAGGGGGAGAGATGGAAACATCGATGTGAGAAAGACACATCAATTGGCTGCCTCCTGCACTCACCCCGACCAGGGCTAGAGATCGAGCCTGCAACTGAGGTACATGCCTTGACCAGAATCAAATCTGGGACCCTTCAGTTTGTGGGCTGATGCTCTATCCACTGAGCCAAACCAGCTATGTCTATTTGGTTCCTTTTTTATGATTTCTATCTCTTTACTGGTATTCTCACTTTGTTCATACATAATTTTTCTGGTTTCTTTTAGCCCTTTGTCTGTTGTTTTCTTTAGCTCTTTGAGCATGTTTATTTAACATCTTTTTGTAGCAAGTCCAATGTCTGGGCTTCTTCAAGAATAGTTCCTGTCAATTTATTTTTTATTTTGAAAATGCCATAGTTTTGTGTTTCTTGGTATATTTGGTGATTTTTTTGTTGTTGAAAACTGGACATTTGTTTACTAGAATGAGGGAATATTGGAAATAAAAGTTTACCCTTTCCCAGGATTTGCTGTGTTTTCATTAAGTTATAGCTTGTGTTCAGCTAGTGTTTTGACTGAGATTTCCTTGAATGCCAGTACCAAACAAAATAACAAAACCAAAACTTAAAAAAAATTTTTTTTGTCTTTGAAGATGACTGTGCTGGGCTATGTATTTTTTATTGATTTCAGAGAGGAAGGGAGAGAGAGAGAAATATCAATGATGAGAGAGAATCAATCATTGATCGACTGCCTCCTGCAACCCACCTCCACACTGGGGATCGAGCCAGCAACCTGGGTATGTGCCCTGACCAGGATTCGAACCATGACCTCCTGGTTCACAGGTTGATACTCAACCATTGAGCCACAGTGGCCAGGCTGGCCATACTTTTAACACTTAATCAGGTTCTTTATAATTGTGGCCAGGCTGGGCCATACTTTTAACACTTAATCAGGTTCTTTATAATTCTACCTCATCTTTCACTTCCTGCTTGCACTGAGATTATATATCAGTCACTGGTGAAACTTAGGGTCTTCTCACATTTTTTTCTGAGCACAGTTCCAATCCTGGGCATGTGCAGTACATACAACTGCATTTGAATACCCTAATTTCCTAAAGATCATCTCTGGCTTTCCTCCTAAACCGTGCGCTGTGTTGTATGTCTTAACCATGTTTTCCCCACAGAGCTGTGAGTTTTTCATAACCTTACAGTGTTTTTGAGCAATTCCTAATCATTGCTTTTCTACCCTTAGTGGGTTTCA